TTTGTTCCTCCAGTTAGTCTACTAATACAGATGCAATTGGAAACCACATATGGATAGGTTACCGGCATAATTGTAAATTGGTTTCATAATTTAAACCAAAACTAATGCCAATATTAACATTTCTACAATATTCATTACTTTAATATTTCTAAACACAAAATACTTACTACCTATACGTCAAGTTATTAACCAACGGTTATTAACACGCATTGTTTTATTATTATTACTGTAATCCCATTTTTTATAGCTCAAATAATCTTCACCCAAATTGTCATTTTAAGTGTGCTAAGCATGAAGGCAGATTTTTTTAAAAATTATTACATGTATTTCCCGACCAGATGCTGCCGCTTTCTTTTTGATTTATCTTTCAGCTTATCATTACCCAGGGGATTCTTCCTAGTCTTGGTAACCTTCGGCGCACGACGATCCCATCCAATTCGGTATCGAACCAACATCACGTTGATTCTGGTGGGATAGTAGTGTAGTGGCATTGAACAATAACCGCACAGTCCACAAAGCTGAACACGAGACTACTCAGAAAATAGATATTCAATATTTAACGCGGATAAATACCTAACGATGGAGAAGGCGCGAACAATGAATTGAATGGACTGGAGTTGACCGGATGGCATGGCTCGGCCATGCAGGGGTGGTCTCTGCCGAATGTTACCTTATATCTTCTATTCATATTAAATATATTGTTCTTTCTCTGGCCTAACCTTGTTCTGCATCATGTATTGATAATTGATACGATACAGTGAGTTGGTGTAGTCGATGGTGTGACTTCCACGTAAGATCTTATGGATTAGGCAGTTATATCATGACAAATCTACAAATTTAGGATTAGGTCTATTATTAAAGCAGTACTAATATCATGGTAGACCATAAATTCTACATACCCACTCTTTATGTTCTCCCGAATTCTGATCTCCTGAATCCTCTTTGTCTCTTTTGTACTTTCCAAATCTAGTTCACTGAATTATACTCTTTAAATAACCTCTTCGAATTCTAATGTTTCCGATTACTACCTCTACCACTACGGGATTTGAATCGACAATTGTATCTTTGTGTTAATGTGGTATGACAACTTGAACTGATGTACGTACGTACTAAGTACTGTGTTGTTGCTGACTGGCTGACTATCTGCTTCAAAATCATTATTTGGTATTCTTTACATCATAATCGGATCACCTCTTAATCTGCCGTAAGAAAAAGTTAAGAGTTCTATCGTCTAAAACTCCTCCTTGTACGTCAAAACTTTGGGTTCTAGAGTTCCCTGTATAGCCGCCCCCTGAACTTTTCACAGGATATCCGAGTCACCTCTTGACATAGGGCCTTGCATCATGAACGCAATTTCCATGTTTGGATCCCACTAAGGTTATGCATACCATAGTGAAAATATTAGTATCTCAGCATATGTCCGTCCTAAAGCCCATAGGGTTCTGAACCCCTTGGCCACGACTGAATGGTTGTTACCGGCGGTCTGAAGATCGTGGCTCACTGACACCCCAAGATCCCTGTGAGACTGGACTACAGGCACTGACTCTTCCTCTATGCTTTATCTGCCTTTGTTCTTACGGCGTGCATGTAGACACACTTGGCCACATTGGTAGGTGTCAACCAATCTTTATACCAGCTTATCAGAACTAAGTTCCCTTGGAGTGCCCATGTATCTGCGTCTCACGCCAGATTTTTACATCATCAGAGTATAATAGCAACGGGGACTCAACTATTCTTGAAAGTCCACTCACACAGTATATAAAGTAAAGAACCTAGGATAAAGCCTTGCAGTATTCCTCTAAGTACTAGTCTCTAGGAGTATTCGGAATTTATTCTTTCTATCTACGACCTGCCATAAAATCCTCGATTCACTCCTCAAAGTAGTCCGGCGATTCCTAGATTTCCCGGCTTCAAAAGTAGTTTACTTCTTCACACTGTATTAAATAATTTTCTGAAGTCTACGTGGACAACATCCACTGATTTTCCACTATATGTGGCCTCTGCACAATGCTCTCTTGTTGCATGGAAGTTTGATGTGCAAGATAACCATTACACAAAACGATGTTCGCTGTTCAACAAGTTTCTGGTTTCCATAAATGTAATCGTAATCATTTTCATTACTCTTTCCAGTATTTCAACTAGGACTTCGGTGAAGTTTACTAGTTCGTAGTTTGGTCCTATTTTGTGAACTGGAGTGATAGTGGTGACCTTCCAATCCATAGACATCTTACCGTGGTCAAGTGAAACACCAAATATCATATTCAAAGGGGCAGCATTGGGTTGTGCTATCGATTTCAGGGTGATAAGTATTTCGATCAAAGTCCACAGTGAGAAGCTGATTTCGTGAAATACTTAGGTCTAATCTTCTCCCAGAAGAGGCTCCTGGGTAAAAGCTGTCTCTAAATAGTTCGCCACGGCCTACACCTAGTTTGGTCTTCGTTCGGCATTTCAGATCAACTTGATCTGCAAAAGAACAGTCTAATGTTCCTGACTAAAGCTGAGGCGATTGCGTTTTTCAACAATTTGTAATCAACCGATGCACTTGGTTACTCTTCATCTCCGACTTACGGAGAATGATTGCCTGTGTGTTACTGGAATCCATTATTTGTCTTACTCTGCAAAGCTTATGAGTGCTACCTAAACAGGAATTAATAATTATTCGTTACACAGGAACAACGTCTGCATAACTGAAGAAAGGAGTTGGTTACAGTAACGTATCTCTTATATTTCCAAACCGGAACAGATTTGTGCAAATGCATTTGGAATCTTATCCTGCCAACCTTTAGTTTTGATTATCATATTGTCATTAATTCCACTCTTATATCATTAATAATTGTTGTCATTCAGTTTAACCAATAAATTTAAGTTCGTTGTTTGTGTCTACAGATCTTTTAGCCCACTTTTCTCCCTTAATATTTTCTAGATTCATACACACCAACTCATTACGTACATCCACGCTAGACCTGTCAAAGACAAGCCATTGCAGATTCATCAAAATAACAGGAAGATTATTCGTGGAGTAACACTTGCTTTAGAGAAATGTTTCATTACCGTTACACTACTTACATAACTCGATCTCAACGGAACTTGAACTAATTTAGATGAACCTTGGCACTATCACAACTTGACACCTTCATAAATATAATTTAACGCTGAATTACTGAAATGATGAGGACTGTAAGCGATATGATATATTACGATCAAGTTCCTCCTGATTCTTTTAGTCTGCATAGGTTGCAAGCCTGGAGTCACTTAAATACAAAATCTGATAAACTTATGATGATTTAAAGTGAACCGATCGACTTATATGGGTTAAAGTACAAAAGATAGTTATTTCACGCTTTCTTCGAAGGATGGCAACATCGTCGCGATATTTTGAAGTAGCTTGTTCCGTTAGGAGTAACTACTTCAATATGGCATGTCTTTAATGTTATTATCATTAATTTCGATCTGCGGTTATACCATAATACATTACTATACTACTAAAAATGAATTCAAACTCAATAATTTCTTACTACAGTTTATTGCTGAGGATGTATTGTAGTGCTGAGTTTGTAGTAATCCGACGTACTAATTAGTGACTGTAAAACTGTTGGTAACTCCAAATGATCCTTTTCCTACAAGAATGTTATTCTGATTGTGTTCTTTTTAAGTATTTTTCAGTTGCGCAAAAAAGCAGAAAATCGCTTGCATTAATTCCTCTAAGAGAAGTAAGTAATTTAATGGATCTACTGATAGTTGAGGTGTGCTGACCGATAGTTAGACTGGGAAACTTCATGTACGTGCTGCGACTACCAAAATACCAATATTCTGTTTGAACGCACAGCTAACGAAGCAAAGTGCTTTCGATTAAACCAAATTACGTTCTTCTGTGCATAATACGAAGCGGTTTTGAGTGACTCGTACTGACTTATACAAAACACAAGCCAGTGTGATAAAAACTAAAGGAATAGCTAACAATAAAGTGTTTGATACCTATAAGTCAATAAAAATATTCCCGACAAGATGTGATCCCATGGCTATCTGCAAACATCCATGTAACCTTTTCAAGCGGAAAATTGAAGGTTGACAGCCGTGCGTTGAACGTCACCGAGACCTTGAGTTTGGTCAAACACGACCTTATTATCAATGGCCCGTTAACAGAGAACTAGATAAAGGTTAAGATGCAAGACAAGAGGGAAAATGACAAAAATATACAATGAAATGCTTTGGGGAGTTTTCGGCGTGCTCTACCTGTTACAGTATTACGACTTATCACTCTTTAATGAACTAATTGCGTGTACGGTTATCTTTCCGATATCACTTTATTCTTTGTTGCTACTCAAAGCAATGTTCCGTTAGTTTTCATGGTAATGTGTACCATTTTAACTGAGTTTGTTTATGCTAGATAAACGATTTCGGAGGAAACTGTTTTAAAACGAAATCTCTGTTTAGTATTCTTCATAGCTACCGTGTTACACTTTTCATGAAAGGCTTTCGTGTTGCTACTTTAAAAAAAGTTACTGTTTTTAAGTTTGCTGTAGCACCTACATTGTGATACTAGAAATATTTAATGCATATACATCAAGTAGTGCGTTCATATACTAGGAGAATTGTTAGTTGTGGTCAAGTAGTAAATTTGAACCATTACAAAGGCAAGTGAATCAGAAAATGAGGGAAGATGAAATCGAAATGTCAACACTATTTGATTGTATGCTAAAAAGTACAGGGGTCTGTTTGACATACATTATTTTGCCAACGTGACTGAAGTTGAAAAACTCCCTTTCATAAACAACACACAATATTTTCACAGTCAGGAAAATTATTCTGAACGTTTGTTTCACTTAGACGAAAACAAATATTAACAGAAATTGTTTGTAGAAATCGAAGCAGAATTTTATATCATCGTCTGATTTATCAATTTAAAGATAAAAGTATACTTGAAGGAAGGACTGTTTGTTTAGTGCAACCAGTTTGACCTAGAGAACGAAAGTTTTTATTTTTAATTTAGGTCATTAGATATGAATGTGGTAAGTTTTGAGAAGCTGTGTACTTTTGGAGCTTCATTTAACTGCAATCTAGCAATTTAAACATGAAACAAAAAAGTGTTCAGGAAAGCTGTTTTGTTCAATTGAGATAGTTATTTGTAAGGGGGTCTCCTGACCACCCAACTAAATGTTAGTCGTCAAAGTTGTTTTTGAGATAAGTACTAAGATTTACAGACAAACGATAGGGTTTACCATAGCATTTGCTGAAGATTTGATTGATTTACGTACTTATGTGTCTTAATCAAACCTCAATTTTGGAGTTGATGTCATCTCGTCTTGAAAAATATTGCTCTCCTTCCAAAGTTCAAATTGTTGTACTAATTCTTCAAAATAATTGTCACATATATTTCGATCTTCATAAGTAGTAAGGTCACGTAGAGTTAATTTACCAACACTGAATAAGTTGTACTAACCCCTGGCCTAATCATAGACTATGAACAATGAGTTTCAAAATGAGTTTCACACATCAAAGTACCAGCAAACATTGCTTTGCATTCTTTCTGTTGGTAGCACCAACGTATTAACTTCTGATCCATCGACTGTCATCTGTTCCTTTCCATAGAGTACTCTTATAACATTTTTTGTCTAACTTACATGCAGAAGGGGATTTGCTTAAAGAAAATTCTGAGTATTATGAAATTAGATTTGAAATGTCAGCTCGTACACATTAAGTACAAAACAAACATCATATTCTTGTGTCATTGTTGAGGATTATTTACTCAGTGAAATCATAATAAACTATATTGAACGTTTGAGAATTTCTAGGAAGCAGATGATTGTTCAGTGCTTTTTGTAGATATAACAGAAGTTAATTCTCATTTGATATACATTTTGAACCCATTTAAGTAGTATGATATGAGTTAACAATTAAGATCATTGTTTTAAGTTTGTGATTTATTTACATTGTTCACACGAATTTATTTGCTATTTTCATAGCTCACTTTTATCCGATGTGATTTAAAAATACAGGGATACTTTTGGCTTGAAGTATATGTTTAATTTTTTAAAGCAAAACAGCCTAAAAGTTTTTACATTAACGATAAGATTACTCTAATCAATAGTTGTTTTTTCATAAATGTATGATTGGACATATCCGGGATCTTCAAAATAAACTGGTAACTTTATCTTCAGAACAAGAATATTCTCAGTTTTTGATTCTCAAAATACGTGAAAGTGTTGACGAATTAGTTTTCATGTTTCATACCCCGGTGAAAACATTTAACTGTTTCCTAGACTTTCTAGTAAAATATGATAGTTTTGGGGGATTCGTCGAAAGATACTGTCTGATGCATAAGGCGGTAGTGGCTTTGCTTCGTTAATTTATCACCCTTGTAACCGTTATTACATAAACCTCAACGATGTTTGAAATCAGAAAGCAATAAGAATCGGCAACTAAAGTTTATTAGCGGATAGCGCAGATGGCAAAGTTATAAACATATAATGCGAATTTGAAGCAGAAAAGCAAATATGTATATGTGAGCAAATAAAGTGGCAAATTTATAGACAAATTGCATACGGACCCAGCAAGACAAAACAAAAGCTAATAATAGGATTTGAGTACGTATATATAGAGAGAGGAGAATGAATCATCGAGTGATATTTAAAAGATCAATATTTTAACTAGTCTGTCATGTGATCTTATGATCATAACGGTACCAAAATTAGTCATAATCGAAAGTGGTTTTAGGGTAGTTTAAGCGCAGTTTACAAAATCATCAACAAACCAATTTGCACGTTGTAAATAAAAGTTTGAAATGATTTCACAACACAACGAAACGTTGTTTTGTCAACCAATATATACGTTGATACAGTCATATAGGGTAGATGTTCAAAGTGTTCAAACAAGTAATCTCAATTTTTTGTGTATATATAGTCGACGAATAGAGTGTTAAGTTTAATTAACTCACACATGCTATTAAGTACCTTTCAATGACCCCTTCTTAGAATTTTATAGCATCGGTGTATCGAAAATACCTCCTCACAACATTTCAGAATGTATCATTAGCATATTCTACGTGTAGTGTACACACGAAATGTGATTAATTGTAAAAAATCCTTGCGCACTTTTAAAATATATGATTTTAGCATTCAGAAATTTATCCCTTTGTTTAAAAGACGAAAAAAATTCAAAGTTATTTGTATCAGCGGCCGAATCACTTAAGTTATCATATAAAGGAATAATGGGTCCGAAATCAGCAAGCAACAAAAGACTGAAAAGTATAGTCAGACTTAGCATCTCATGTAAATGAAACAAATCAATTCTTTTCTTCTTAAAATATGACACGTAGTAAAGTATTTAAATGTAAAACCATATACTTATTTTCAGAGCAGAACATGTACTTTTCGTATTTTGTAATTCTTTTATTACTGTGTTTGTCACCCAATAGACATTCAAAAGTACATGTACTGTTGTCGGTCAGGTAATATCTTTAACCAAGTTACTGAATCAAATATAAACGAGTTTAAAACATATTTATCATGTAATTTAAGAGCATTTGTAATGGTCATAATGATTCCTTTGTGAACTGAATTTTTGATTTTTATTAAATTGGACACCCTGCTACTACACCTAATTTTCATATTGAAATAAATTATTACTCTTCGATAATGAAATTGTTATTCACACAAAGAAAAAACAGTTTCAAAAAATAAAATACATTTATGAATAATATTAAAACAATTTGGTTTTTGAAGATACGAAAAATCTACCGCAAGGTTACTTGCAAAAAGAAGCCCGAAAACAATAAACTGAAAGATGGTTTGGATGATCTTAAACAAGAATTGGATATGGATGAGCACAAAATACCGCTTGAAGAGTTGTATGCTCGACTTAACACCGACCCTGAAAATGGATTGAAATCTGAAGAAGTTAAGTGAGTACTGACTATTTTGTGACGTCGAATTTTGTTACAATGTAGAATTCGATTAGAACGTGATGGACCTAACGCACTGACACCTCCAAAAACGACACCAGAATGGGTGAAATTTTGTAAGACACTGTTTGGTGGATTTTCAATGCTACTTTGGATCGGTGCCATTCTCTGCTTTATTGCATACGGTATTCAGAGAACTGCTGAAGATGAAGATGTAAAGGATAATGTAAGTCTTTTTTATCATCCAAATAAACCAGTTTTGAAAATAGAAACAAGTTGGTAAGCATATTATCCCTGACCATGTATTTATACAGTACAGGCTTATGTTTGACGCCTTAAAAGTTTTCCATTTTAATACACAGTTGTGTAAATATGAGAAGAGGTGGAAAGAAAGCTAGTTTACTTTATGTCTAACATCTAGACATACGAGCTATTTCACCCGCTAATCAATGAGTCTGATATCTATGCGTAGACATAAAAAAGATCTATACAACGAATGTGAATAGTGATGGACAACATTAGCGAAAAAAGCCCAAACAAGGGTTAAAGGTAGATAACGCTAGAAAGCTATTCAAATTTATTGGAAGTGTGGGAAGTAAGATGTTTAGTTTTAAGTACGTTACCCTTGAGTAACACAAAACGATGAACCACCCTCAGAACACAAAATCTAGCGTAAAATTTTGCTAGACGGTTTACATAATCTCTTGATACTCCTGACAAGTGGAGATATTGATCAAGATTGGGCTTCGACTTTTCGCAAAATAGAAAAAAATAGAAGTTATGTAATGCAATGTAGGGTAATATGCCCGAAGCAGGTTGACTGCGGAGATTTCTGGAGAAGCACACTAAGCTAAGTAGTTAAACCAAATCATATACGTTCTAACACACAGAGGAAAGCCATACTTTTACTTAGTTTGTGCTGAGAACTGTCCGTTCCACTATATGGGACGGGACAGAAATCCTCTTTTCTAAATTACAGGTAAATTAGGTTGAACAATATTATTTCTAGAAAACAGTCTCTCATAATTACTTGACTGTTGATATGAGCTAAGAAACTCTAAAATCTAAAGAAAGGATGGATTCAGACCAAGCTATGAATACATACATCACGTTTGCACTGCTCTTCAGGTTTTGAAACGAAGGAATATTTATCGATTCGTAAACCCAACCTATATATTCTACCATAAAGATGCATTTGATCTAAAGTAGTTTTGTGTTAGCTTTTATCATTGAATGATGTATCTAAGAAATATATCAACCTTTTGAATGACACGTGTTCACATACTGTTAAAAGTTATAGCATATAGTGAACTGTTTTACAATCTGACTCCCACCAATGGTGTACAGAAAAGATCACGGATCTCTCATTGTTGTTCAATCTCGTTGACTATGTACCACTAGAAACAACAACTTGATAATTTATCTTTTTGCGGAAACCCCCTTGTTGATTCATAATAAACTGACGACATAGTTCTGTTTAGTAGAGATGCTAACAAAATACAAAATTTTATAAACTCCCCCAGTAACGCAAGGAAAATTTTTGAGACGAGTTTTTTTCGTTTTAAATATAAGATCCAACCTACGATTTGTTCCACATATAGGTCTCAGACTAACCATTGAAAATGATGTAGTTTCTGTATATTTACACCTTATGCCACTATTCTCATCAGCTTAGATGAATGGTTCTTGGACGAATTCTCTACAGAGATTCAATAGCCTTCTTATACTTAGAATTACATTCTCCTTTACCATAAATGAACTATTCGTCTGTTAATTTAGCTTAAAATGTGTTTTACACTAGTACAATCTGTACTGTTGTTATATTGTACATTCATATGGAAAATACAAAAAAAACTAACTTTCATATTTGCTATTAACACAGAACAATTTAACCAGTGATTAAAAAAACGTTACCATGTTTAATTCATACAAGAAACTAATCAAATCAAATCATGTGCAATTATCAACTATTCATATTTTACTAAAATGTTAATTGTCTTTTCAAAAAAAGGTACCAACTGTATGAAACTATAAAGTATCTATGTAGAAAAAAATCAGTATACTCAACCTCTTCTTGTCTCTGTCGCGCTTTTTTTTTGTTATGTATAACAAACATTCTTTACCATAGATTAACTAAGGATTATTATTGGATGTATACTGAATCAGTAAGAATCTAAGTTTGAAATTTTCTGATTTGCTAATAACGAGTAATCTATACCGACTTACTCTACTGTGTATGCTAACTAATTATCTTTTTTTTACCATTTGTTAGATACTATAACATTTTGATCATTATTTTGAACGTATTAAAACCAAAGAAGTTTTTATCGTTTATTATGATTAATGAGGAATAATTTCTAACTTTGATATTGTTTAGTGTAGAAGTGTTTTCTCTAAGCAGAAATGCTACATGAATAGGGAATGATGGTAAATCAGTTGATGAGGTTATGAATCTTCATCGACTGAGATGGTTGGGCCACGTATTACGTATGCCTGAACACCGATTACCACGACGTGCAATGCTAACCGGGGTAGGGGATGGTTGGAAGAAAGTTAGGGGCGGCCAAACCAAAACGTGGCATCAGTGCCTGAAGTCACTAACTTCTAGTCTGAGCCATGTTGAGAGATGCAGATTACTTGGTTGGGGTCCGCGTGACTTTCGTAACCAATGGTTGGAGACTCTTGGTGACATGGCTCAGAATCGATCACAACGGCGTCGGTGTATACACTCCCTGTCTTCCCTTAAACTAAGAGACTAAAATCACTTCATTCTTTCTGTCTACGAACTAATTCTTTCTTCCTATACTATATCCTTATTGCAACCTTTGACCTAACCACTCCTATGAATCCGCTGTTCATCTTGCTGTGCTAATGAGGTATGGCAACCTGGACCGATGCACATATGTGCCTGGTCCTACGTTGTAGCTGACTGACTGACTGAGGGAAATCTACTAAAATCCAATGATGAACAATACTGTTGTAAAGGTACTTCATAGATATAGAAAATCAGTTGATAAGATAATGAATCTATATCACCTAAAGTGGTAAGGACATTTACTACTTATAAGCAATCATCGCTTACCTAGACGAGTGATGTCAGCTGCTGGTCCAGAGGTTGGTTAAGGAAGGGAAGGGAAGGTCAAATTAAAAAGTAGTACCGATCCATGAGACTATTGACAAGTGGTTTGAGTTATGTTGGTAAATTCAGACTGCCTGGTTTAAATCTGGACGATGATTGAGATCAGTGGCTAGAGGTGTTGGCTGATATGAATGGGAATCGGTCACATTATCATAGATGCTCCAGATCTCAATCTCTAATATTCCTTCATACATACCTTTCCATTGTCTTTTCTAATCATATTATCTGTGTTCGCTTTTTCTTATTGTAATTATAACTACTCTATTCAGACTCCCTTTCCATCCGTCCTGCTAATTTAACGTGGTTGTACTAATATGGTGTAAAAATATAGGAAAACAGAGAATCGTAAATGGCCACTTTTAGAGAAATCCTACTCACTGTCCTTTTGTGGTTGGGATGTTAGTTATCAAATTGAAAGTATGGAAAGTGAATACCCGGCATCCGAACAGGGTTAGTGGCTACAGAGCATCCATCTAGTGGAGTTGGAAAACACTGATTCGAAATCAATGGTGTATACAGGCGTCAGAATTCTAAGAGAACAAGTGGCGCATAAACCTGTTCTTAGTCACTGGTCACTATGTGTCGGCAACACCTAACGTTCCTCTACTGTCTTATGAATAAGACTTCTGGGGCAAAGGTTCGGTGAGTGACCTTGTGAGAAAACCACTGGCTTTAGTTTAGGGACCTAGATAGTATTCTCAACCTACACACAAATTCAATGATTTCTGTTTACCATATTCATATTTCGACGCTTCTTTGTACCAATCCTTGCTAATTTCATTTTTGTTTCTGAAATACATTTAAGCTTTTATAGCGAATTTCATTATATGTCTGATTCAAAAATGTAATTAACTTTCTAAAAAAGAAAACTGTAGATAATAGACAATGATGAAATTGACATAGTTTGCATTGTATATTCTTCTATAAACTACTTAAACAGATTATAGATATATATGATCACAAACTAATATAACGATAGTATATATCTTCAATGTGTGTACTGATAAAGTAATTATGCATGAAATAACTGGAATTCTTATTGGATTGAATGATATTACCTTATACAAAAGTTTTTCAATGATAATTAAAGTGTACATTTTTGAATATAAACTATGTATGTACAAGTTAAACAATAAATTGTATAACGGGTTATTCCCATTAAACAAAACACTGTAATCCCGGTTAATGTTATGGAACTATTTACTTTGGAGTTTGTAGTCGACTTATAAAAGAACTTTATTAAAATGAGACAATATACAAAGTAGATGATAAACAAGAAATGAATAGTGGCTAGTAGTCAAATCTAGGATGCACGTTTCGTTCTATTTGGGACTCGTCAGCTGGATGTAATTGCACCTCAGAGTTGATGTTTAATACAGGACTGGAACCCACCACCGTTCGCTTCAAACGCCATCTTGTTACTGAGTTATGATAACCACTTGTTTGTGCAAGGTTCAAATAAACAATACCAAGTGAATTTGAAAGAGATGATAGTTTGCCAAAATAAATATTAATACCATAAACTATAATGGCTATATATAGAGAGCAACACTGAAAAAAAAGATATATTAAATGACAAAACGTTATTTAAGGGATATTACTTAAAAGTTCCTTAGAGAATAACTACTACAAATGGAGTGAATTCAATCAAGAGATGATCTTTTGCACAATTGACCTCGACAAAGTGAAGTAAAGTATAAATCTGATAGCTTTATTGAATAGTAATATAAACCAATTAGTTCTATTAAGTATAAAAGGCTCTTAAAGGATATTATACCATTATAACATAATCTTCAATCATAGACTGTAGTCGATAAAACCGAAACGTGACTGAAGTAAATAGTACTTATTTGAAAGACTAATTAATAATGTTCATTCACAATTTATACAAATAAATAATAGATACTGACTATAGAGATGATTATATCAAAAGAGTTATAAAGAATGAAAAGATATACTTTAAATAATTGAGATCATGAGTCAATTGATGCTAGATCACCATGGAAAAATTGGAAGGACTAAGTGGCCGTTTTGTCTTATTGTGGGCCTCCCACAGCAGTGAGCATTCACGACTCCACCCCGCAGGA